ACACACACACACACACACACACACACACACACACACACACATTTGTTGTATAACTTGTTCTATAAAAACTCTCCAAGCGAAATTTTTTCGGCCATTTCATACATGTATATCTAACGAGCTACTATAAGATATGCAAGTTCGAGAATTTGAGTTAAATTTCTCAATTAACTGGATATTAAAAAAAATACATATATAAAACTCACTTCGCGGAGAGTGGTCAATTACTTTTTCGCAAACTGAGAGTTATTCCACGAGTAGTTTATCACCGAAAGCATCTTGCATTTTGCCGGTGCAAACTACACTTCGCCTCGCTTTCCTCGTCGTGATATTGCACGGTTCGCGGAGCCTCGTTTTGCCGTATGATATCCGGAGTTTATTTTTGTGCCCTCTCATTCTGCCAAAATGAGGCACGCCGCGGAAATTAAACTCGAGAATAATGAGTTAATTTGAGCTCGTGATTAGTTAACTCCCCACTCCTACCCGATGTGGACGCCCGACTAGTTTCGCGCGCAAAATTGCGTCGAATTTTTCAACTGCAGTAAACGCCTGTAGCAGAAACGTAATGGCACGATATAATGAGAAAGATTATAATTATTCTTCTTTTCGAACTCCCTTTCAACTATACTAATCTTGTTGCAAACGATCTATTCTCTCTTGTTGAAACGTCTTATTGTGGACACAGAAATTAAAATTTCTTATGTTTGTAAATCTTTTTAGATTTATATAAATTCCGCGAAAAATCAGGTGACGAGTACGAAATTATTATTAGCGTGAAAAAGGAAAAATAATTAAAACAGTTTTCTTTTAATTTAGATCTGGATTATAATAATTCATAAGAAAAGGTACGATATACATATTGAATTTAAATATAGATTGCATCGTTGTACGAGTCAAGTAACTTGATATTATTCAATGCGGAAATAATCGAGCTTCTGATCACATCGACGTTTTGCAAGAATCTTAGGAAGCTAATATGCTAAGGCAACGAGGTATCTTCCACGTCGCCAAACTGAACCCAAGTCCTACATGCGTAGAATATTTTGGCGCTACCTTCATTATTCCACGCCTGCTTACGTCAGTTACAAGAATGCGGAATCTTTGTTGAGGAAGCCGCGTGATTCATGAAACTTGTCGACAAAGTACATTCCAAAAATTCCGCTTCATGAAATTTTGTTTCGTGCGGACTTCCTTTCGTGCTCGTTGCGATCAGGAGTTAGAGAGGGGTTGAGGAGAAGCAACCGCACTGTTACGGTGCACGCAAGGAGTTAATTAGGTCCTGAAGTAATCCTTTGTTCCATTTTAGTTAATGGAACTACGGCTGTAACGGAGCCTGATAAACAAAGGTGTGCATTATATTAACGCGAAACTAATCGCGAAATATCGTGCCTTCGCCGAGACGAAATCGGCATTGTCGACCGTGTTATTGTTATCATAATTGTTATTATTATTATATGTACCGGCCTAAAATGTAATTCTCGTAACGAATGAATTATCGACAACAATTAAAATTGTGTTTACAATTTTATTTACAATAGGATCCATTGCATTGAAAATATTTTAGGAAAAATGTATTTAGTCATATATTATTATATTAAAAAATATTTTAGGAACAGATTCTTTGATGACTTTTCCGTGACAAATGTGTTTATATAGTCATTATCTTTCTTGTAATCTTGGTAATTTCCAATACTAAATATCTTGAAATATCCTAAATCAGAATTTTAACAGATTTTGAACAAAACTAAATTCGAAATTATTCAAGAAACAAAATTTTGCAACAAAACACTTCGCGATCAATAATTTACAAGAACGTTTGTTTTTTATGAAATATCTATAATTAGAACAAATTGTGTAAAGAAAAGATTATTTCTACTTCTTATCAAATTTTAAAAAATGTCCTGATAAACCAAAAAAGATTCTAATGAGATCAAACGCATCGTAGAGACTTATAAATCTCTCAAGCTTTTTTTTAAAGATTGTTAAGCGCTTGCAAAACTTAAAAATCTAAAAATCTAATAAA